GAAGAAGAAGGAATCTAGTGAAAATAATTAATTAACACAGCCTATTTCTAGTCCTCCTCTTAAGCCTATTTAAAGGGCATTAGGTATTATGAATGTGAGGTGGTCTAAATTTACCCCGTATTATCTATCTTCATCTGACTACATTAGTATACTTTTCCAGGCTCCTTGCTTGCTATTTAAATCTTATTGCATGACTCTGAAATCCAACCTCTCTTTTGCTTGTGTATTTCACACTCAGATTATTTTTCCCACCAAGATTAATCTCTCTTTATAGCAGCTGTGATCAGATTTACGCACCTGAAAACTGTTAAACTAAAAAAGATAAACCCGACATGAGTATTTGCTAAATGGGTGAAAGACGCCCGTAAGTGACTTCAAGAAATGAATTATGTATATGCTAAAGAGAACTCATTTGGGAATTAAGGAGGATGAGTAGCAGTCCATTTTGTGCCTGTTAGGGCCTACACTGGCTGCATTAGGGAGAGCTAATGGGCCCTGGGAGGGGGTGTGGGGTGCATGGGAGGGGGTTGGACCCTTTGCAGCCCAAGGTCTCCAGGCCCCTGTGACAGATGGCTGGCCACCTCGCTGGGTGGCTGTGGCTACAAGGTCTGTCGTGAGGTTGATCTGTGGCGTTGACAGCGTCGCGGAGATCAAACGACATTGTGGAAGGTGAAGAGACGGGTGGCGTGCCAGGCCAGAGAGGCAGAGACGGTGTTAGGGCTCAATTCGAGGGTTTTGGAGGAAGCTGCTAGTGCTGATATTTTTAGAACTAACTCACAGATAGCTGATATTTTACATGTTTGCATACTACCTGAAAAAAAAAGTCTTGAGGGATGTCTTTCTGTGAGGCTTAAAACCACAATACCCTAATGAGATAGTACTAGCCTCTCTAACAGGCTGTCATGAAATACACTAAATATGCTTAACTTTTTAATGACAAAATAAGTTTCCAGGAATACAACTCGAGTTTTTCTCAGTTACAAAGCATTTGATACACCACATGTGCACATGTCATGTGCATTGAATATATGTATATATATGTGTATATATATATATATATATATATATATATATATATATATATATATATTCTTGCACAGAGTACTGTGAAAGGTGCATGCACATATGCTATCCTGAAAGTGATAGAAACAAATATAATTTGAAGATATGAACAAATATGAACATTTTGTCAGGTTAGTCAGAAAAACAACTCTTTATTACATCGACAGTGAAAAACAGGAGTGTCCAATATCCAGTTTTTCATTGAGATGAAGTAGCCACACGCTGTGTTCTCATGTTTATTAAGACACCAACATTACAGCAAACAGCTTTCATTAGGTTTCATCAGACTCTGATCAAAGCTGTTTGCGCAAACGCTGGTGTCTTCATAGAGTCTCCGAAATGAGAACATAACATGTGGCTACTTCACTTGGATGGAATGATTTTTTTTTGCACAAACACATTGACTGTAGAGCAGTATGTTCTATTCAATGGGTACTGATAATGGTCTACTGTGAGTTTTTGCTAACTTTTACAACTGACAGAATGGTATTTAGTTTAGGTTTAAGGATCTGTTTCGTTATACCAAAGTAGTTTCACTTATTTTGTTTACAGCATTATCATTTCTTGAATGGAATTTATGAGGAGCTTTTTAAATGGAAGAAAAGCTTTTCATGGACTCAAGAAAATGACTAAGTAAAAAAAAAAAATCCTTTTTTGGAGTGTTACTGTAAAACATGAACAGAATGTACTCCGTTGCACAGTAACAGTTAATTACTCCTGAAATATGCCAACATTCTGGCAAACAAAAGATTTAAAAGTGTTTCTATGATTCTCAGTGAAACTAAAGAGTTGATAAATCCCATTTTAAAAAGAGAAAGGCATCAATTCCCCACCACCAATGCCCCGTGGGCACAAGAGGCCCGGCCTATTAGGCGATTAGCCCGTCTTACATTCCGGGTGATCGGATTAGACGATTCCCACAGTCTAGTCTGAAACTACTCCCGACCCGCAGCTCCGGAGAGCATCTCAATATCCAATTTCACAGCTTTCTAAACCTGGATCACACAGGCTATTTATTACTGTCACAGTCTTTGTGTTGGGGGGTGGAAGGGGTGGGGAGTTAGCTTTTGTGTTTCATCTGTTTCGAAGCAGGAAGACGATCAACAAGAGAGAAAAAAGCGTAATGAGTGAGGGACCTGTGGTGTTGCCTGAAACCTCCCAAAAACACAGGATCCTTGTTAAATTAGACAACAACCACGCTTGTTTCAGCAGTCAGCAGCTTCTCCAAGACCTTTGATCCGCACGCCGGCCCCGGTGACTGAAAGAAATTATGACCCAGGTTTGTGTGTGTGTGTGTGTTTGTGTCCTGCAGCACACTGCAGAGTGCTCTCTAATTGATTAAAAAAAAAGAAATGCAAGAGTAAAGAGTTGACTGTACTTTGAATTTAGGAATCACGACCTCTGAAGAAAATGAAGGTGTTTCAAAAACTTTTTGATTACTGCTCAGAATTATACTCAGAAATGGTGATTCTGAACAGATGTAGCCAAAATAGAGCCTCCTAAATAATAAAATCATTTATAAGGCCGTCTTAAACTGGACCAGCAGCTGTAATAGGGGCCTCCATTATAGAGGCTTTATAATTTCCCTGCTTTTTCCTCTTAGAGCCTCTGTTGTTCCTCTGAATTACCTCTGAATGATTTATGCTCACTGGTCTGGCCACTGATAGACCCTGGCAACACAGATAGAAACACACTTAGGGCTTTTTGGTGTGTAAACACGCTGTATTAAAAGCCAACTTGTTTCAAACAGCCAAACACATTTGCTGCGACGGGGGCCACTCGGTGTCATTTCACTTGTCAAACACTGCAGTGTCACAGCCAATCAGGAGACTCCAGGGGCAGCACAAGCCATTTAACCTGAGCAAACACAGTGCGCTGTGAAGCCTGAGGATGACTTAAGAGCCTGAGCAAACACTGGCGAGAGCCATCGGGCACGAATCAAGGCAGCCTGGCTGAGGACAAGTCACTCTGGTAATGGGTTTGTGATGACTCAAGATCGAGCGGCCATCTGTTTGTTACAGTGGGGGAGGACCACAATTCACAGTTCAGATACACAGAATATTAGCCGGTAGTGCAGCAGAGGAGGGGAGGATTTGGCTGGTGGCACAGGATGTAAAGCATATGTCCATAAATGGTAAATATGTTGATAGCTGAGGCCCTGATTCCCTGAGTTGGGGCCAGATAACAGGATTTGCATGGCGATTTTCAGCCTCGGCGACAGAATGCCTTTAAAAGGTGTAAGACAACTAATCCTGCAAGTGACCTTCACACTATTCACGACATACAGGTGGAAAATGCTGCAGCGCTGTTGTCCCACCAGCAGCTCACCGCTCACATGGAAAATTCACCACATATTTAAAGCACCAAAGTGTTTGCATTGGATTTCAATGATGGGACTTTGAATAAACCACAGTCATTTGTGTTCGGTCTGTAACCGTGAAGTTCATTTGAACAGTCAAACCACATACAGCCTCTGACGCAAAAACTGGTTCTCCTTGCACAGAGCTGCTCAGGGATAGTCCGCCTATGTAGTCCGGCACTTTACAGAAGGAATCTTACCTCTTGGAAATCCTTTAAGTGAAAGAATGTCAAGATACTTTAAACCCATCTTTGAATTAGTGAAATGCACTCAGTTAAAGTCCTGCTGTTAAAGTAGCAGGCCTGCACATAAACTGCTGGGTTTTATATGTTACTGTAAACCACTGTATAGCATATAGTGTTTTACATCTATAAGGCATAAACAACTTGGAATCTGTTATCTTTAAATATAGATAGGACTGTAAATACATGTAGAAGGTAAAGAGCTAAAAAAAAAGTACAAATACAAAGTACAAAGAATTATACTTGAATAAATGCACTTAATTTCTTTCCTCCACCACCAATGATAATGTCTACATGTTCCAATAATCTGCTTAAATTAAATGTTGGATTATATTTTCTTATGTGCATTTTCTTCTTAAGAACAGAAGTGTGGTGCTGAAATATTTTTGATAAAAATATTTACATTTGATTATAGTGCTCAGACAGTAAATACACAGGATATAACTAATTATCTAAAAAGGTAGCCCCGTCTTCACCTCATTGACCTACTTTTTCAATACTGAACAAGCACTCTTTACTCCAGTTTAGTGCCATTTTAAGAGGAAAACCCAAAATAGAAGCGTCATTCATCATATTAAAAGCCGCACTGCTGTTTTTACTTTTGTATATGTCGGATTAGATGTTGTTAAATATCCTCGGGGAAGCAATCAGGTGTTTAAAGTTAAGGGCAATTCCCTTCCCTACAGACAATCAATAAAAAAGAAAAACCTAAGCGTGGGGACTGTAATAGGCTCGGCTTGTAACCTGCTCTGACAAATTAAGGCAAGTGGTGTTTTTTCATTACTTACACATCCGTTTTCATTTTTCAAATCAGTGGAACCAATTAAACAATGCTTCCTTAAATTAGTCATTGATTTTTAGCAATAGTGACACCTTACAAAAGGAAATGATAACTTTAAGGGAGTGTTGCTGCTTTTTTTGTTGCTGTTTTTTTTTTCCATTACTGCCAGCACCAGACACAAAAGGACAGAAACAATTCACCTACATGAAAAAGCGAGGTCTTAAATTAGCCATTGATTTTTCCTCAGGTGTCACTTTGGTTAAATGCTTTGTGATTGGGAGTTTTCTTTCCAACTTGGAAATTGACAAGAGTCTATAATCTGCTAGTCTACACACACATACACACACACACCTGCTATGGTGTTTTCTTTTCCCACTTCCACTTTGTAAATTTATGACCTTGTCGGGACAGACATGATAAATATTCAGCTTGATTGAAAAAAAAAAGATTTATCATATGTAAGGAATACATAAAACTGCCAAGAGAAGAAACACTGAAGCTCTTAAACTTTTCTTTATATTATGATCAATTAAAACATTTGAGAAGTGCTCATCACTTTGTTTTTCAGAACTATTTTATTACAGAATTTTTCCTATTGCCAATCCCATCCCACACACGTGAATCTTGAGAACAAAATTCAGAGTAATTTTTTTAATGCTGAAATTGACGGAAAAAAAAGAGACAAAAAATAAAGAGAAATCCAGAATAGCAGGCCATAGCTGCTGCACTGTTTTTTTTTTCTTTTTTCCCCCCTGTTGTCATTTTCTCGAGACTAGAAAATACACTTACAATTTGAAGCAGCAACAAAATGTGCATTTACCTGATTATACAATGGAACAATTTAATATACCATGATTTTTATTCATCACATTATAAAACTCTAAATATTTCTTTTACGTTGTTTTTTTTTTTTAACCAAAAAGCAACCTATTAATGGCAAAGCAACAGTTTTTAAGCAAAATATACACCTCTCGTTCACCTGGAACAAAACCGAAAACAATTCAAGGGAGAAATTCGATTTTATATCTTTTTTTTTCCTTTTTATTGTCTGTGCCAATGAAATCAGATGTTTTTTGTTTTTTAGCTGGGGATGCAAACATTATCCTGAATATGAACTGACTGGCTGCTGTAACCACTTCGACTGTACATACACTTTTCACCTGTTATCCATTGAAAAACTGAACACCTGAAGGACGAATGAGTGACTCCTGCTCTGACGCATTACACTGCTGTTTACAGTGAATGACTTATTTTACAGCAGCCTGTAGCTTTGTCTTCGATCCTAAACACAGGCCATTCACGTGTGACGCAGAGAAAGTATTTTTTTTGTCATCCAGACATTTTTTTTTCCCGGAGTGCGTCCTTGTAAGTGAAAGTCTCATCTTTACTGACCCACAAGGTTGTTGAGCTGCTGAGGATCCAGTGGAGTTTATGTCATTACAACACCTACATGATGAAATCTACAGTCTGATTGGACGACGGGCCTTGACGGACAGAGGTGCGGTGTTCAGACCGGTGGCGAGGCAGTTCTCACTGATAGCTAAATGTCTCTTTTATAATCACATTACTTTTTCAAGTCTATAATCATGTCACTTCACCATAAAAGTATCGTTAACACGTTTCCAGTACAGGATGAAGACAAAAAGAAAGACAGTCAAACAAATGGCCATCTTTTGTGAGTGTAGATGAGACGGTTTCTTTAGCAGGAGATCAAAGTGACCGTAAATTAGTCCAGTCTCGTTAGGGCGGCACATGCTCAAAATCATAAGGACTTCAAAAAACAACCAAACAAACGGAATGATTCCCACATTAATGTACAAACATAAATGAGTAAAAAGCCAATCACATAGCTAGCCCCCGGCAGGCTAACATCGTGCCATTCCGGTCCATAAAGTGCACTCTCCATCTTGCTGTGCGGTCAGAAAGACAAGAGCAAAAGGACGTGTACGTGTTTGAGACAGAGGGGAAGGGAAGCGCCGCTGCATGTGTGTGTTCAGTCTAATTCCCCGAGCGGCTGCGAGTTAGAGGACACGACAGTCTCATGTGTACGGATGGAGGCAGCTGGGAGGAGGGTAGGGTGGAGGTGTGGGTTTTGTGGGGCTGACGTTAATAAACGTAGCCTTCGCTGTAGGGGTGCGGCTGGCAGTAGGGTCCCTCCTGTACGTATGCCATGTTTTCGTCAAAGTGCGACAGCGGCACCGTGTCCTCCTCGTTGATCTGCCGCTCCATGTCAGTTTTCAGCACCGGCCGCTGATTGTCAGGAAACGCCATGGAGAACAAGGCCTCGGGGTCACACACGAACTTGTAGACATATCTCTCGCCGGCCACCTGGAGAAAGACGGAGAGGTCTTGTTTTTAAACCATTTTTCCACAGCATATTCTACAGTGACTGAGTGTAATCTTTCACTTTAATCCACCAGATGGAAAAAAAAGATTAAATATCTTTAAAAAACAAAAAAAACAAACATTTTTTAAACTTTTAAAGCTGATCTCCAAATGTCATCAACAATTCTGCTTTGGCCTCCACACTGCACTAAAGAAGAGGTGCTTTGAGCTTTAAGTGTTTTCAAACAATATACAGGATTAGTTAATAGCATTTGTATCCAAATCATTTGATGTTTGTTTACAAAAAGCTTCATTAAAATTTGCAGTATTTGCATCTCTGCTCACTCATTATACTCTCTGACTCATGGAGCCCCGCCCCCACTCACAATAAAAATAAAAAATGGCCGTTCTAATGCCGTGTGACTTTTGCGTTTTCACACATCGAATCTGATCTAAATTAAGCCATTAAAACACTAGCATCACACATTAACACATACCAACCAACCAAACGAGACAACAATAGTCCAGTAACTCGTAAATAGTATCTGCTGGCTTTGATGTGGATACAATGACTTGACAATTCTCCAATCGTTAAATAGTCAAATATTTTAAAAAGTGCACAAAAACTACTTTTAGGTGACTAAAATGCTTCGTGCTCCTGATCTAGAGCACAGCAGCACGTGGCTTTAGCTTCTGTGCTGGTACCCTTTGTTGCTTTGGGGCATCCTAACCACCATGTATTGTTTTTTTTTGTTTGTTTTTTTGTGGATCAGTGTTTTATACAAACCCACTTCAAACAAATGAACTATCCCCAACCTAAGCGAAAACAGCTTATCCATTAAAAGAGTTATTTTAAAACACCAGAATAAATTATATAGAGTGGTTTTACTAAGTTTTCTAAAATTATCTTTGAGACACTGATTGCTTTTTTAAACGTCTTATGTCACACGTGGATTTGGTAGAAAATAAAGGAGCTATAAACTGTTCATCGCTTCTCAGAGGTAAAAGTGATCTCAGGAGCAGATTTATGTTTTCTTTGCTGTTTCTTCCTTATTTTATTTAAACTTGGCCAGCAGTTCTTGACCTCCAACCAGCAAAGTATAATTCCACCTAAAAGTGCTCAACCTCTTCTGACCGGCCTATTAATGAATGCTTTCTGGAGATGCTTCTAACTGTCAAACTAATACCTCAGGAAACAAAAAACCTGACAGAAAAGTGTGTTTATCCAGTATTCTGTTAAAAAAAAAATCATTACTCTTGATCTGAAGTATTTTTGCATAAATAATCTTATGACAATGATCACAGCATATGCAGTGTAGGTCCTAACTCTAAACGCACTAATTGATCTGAAAGAAACTTAGTCCAGTACCAAGTTAATCAACATCTATACAGCTTATGGAAATTATTTGTATAACACTCAAATCCTTACAAATTATACATGCGTGGTAGCTGATCTCAAAAAGAATGGTCATTATTTGCACATCTATTGTTTTTGTAAATATTTTGCTGAACAATTGTTTTACTGCAGGGACACTTTGACGTAGCTGGTTCATCAAACAGTGATGTTTGATGGTGATGATGTAACTGATTACTTTCCCTTATATAATGAATATGTAGCTTGCAAAGAAGAAGAAATATATGTATTTATTACTCATTTGTTTGCTGTTTATAAACATCTGTTTTTGGCATTACTACATATACTACATAAATACTACATGCACTATAATGAAGATTAATTCAAAGAATAACTTGATAAATTAACATACATATCTGGGTTTCACTTTAGTAAAGCGGACACGAGCCGCAAGCCTGGCAAAAACTGATTTTTGCACACAATACAGAAAAAAGCTTTACAATTACAATTTCTCAGCTATAAAGTGTAAATGAACTTTTTTAGCTGTTTCACCATTTTTGAGACACTCTTTTCCTTATATAAGGCACCTGGGGGAATGGGAGCACCTTTAACACAGGCCAGGTATAGCAGCCAAATGAGTAGTTTTCATACTATGTTTACATCAAAAAAATCTTTTAGAAAAAAGGTGAACAGTTTTGGATCCCTTTCAGTGTAACAGATGAACTATAATTGGTTGATACAATTTTTGTATTTTTTTTTTTTTTTACCTTCTGCATGATTCCCTTCTCGTAGTAGTAGCGCAATGATCTGCTGAGTTTGTCGTAATTCATCGCTGGCCGGTTCTTCTGTATCCCCCACCGACGTGCCACCTTTATCACACACACGAACATGAAGACAATAAAGACAGTCAGTAAACAGAGCATTATCAGAAAGCAAACTTATCTAACACAAACGAGCACGGTTGCCCTGATTTCCAGACAGGAACGCTGCAGCAGCTAAAATGTTAAACAAACTTAGCGATCCATATTTTCCTAATAACAGTAATTAGAGCGCGTCCAGCTTGTGCAGACCTGACCAGGGATGTGTTCATTAGGAGCTTGTCACACACCCAGCGGAGGAGGCAGCAGATGTTACAGCACCTGTCTACCAGACCACCCGCCACCCGGCCTCACGGTCCAAACCCACAGCCCCACGGCATTCTCTTAGCTGCTTGCTTTTTTTAAACTCTGCTTTTTACTTTCATTTTTGTTTGTTTCTCACAGTTTATCTCCTATAATACCTTCCCCGATCAATGCAACTGTGTTTTTTCTGCTTTTTCTTTTTCACATTTTTTCTTGTCCACACAACCGCTGACATGCTGCAAATGCAGAAACCGCTACCTAACGTTTGTCTGCGGCGCCTCAAAGCAAATGCGTTTGGTCACCTGATGGCATGAATGGGGCCCCCTGTTAGGTGCAGCTGGCTCGTGCTTCTAGACACCATCGGGCTGCGTGGACCACTGCCCGGTACTCATCTATCTCCTCCATTCTACACTTTCACCCCCTGCCTGCACCCTGCATCCTCCTTCATCCTCCAGCAGTGACTGAGCCCCACTGTGTGTGATGTGGCCATACACAAACCCTGCCTCTGTTTCCATTTCAAAAGGCCCAACCGCCAACATGGGTTATATTTTTAGGAATATGTCCTGTGAAATATTTAACAGGAGCAGGTCATCAGGGTCACTTGGTTGGCTTTAGTGTGGACTGTAGAATATATAACCCTCTGAGGTCCAAGTCATCGTCTGTGATGATCCCAATCCTAACTCCAAACCCTTACCCCAACCTGTGTGTTAAAGAAAAGCAATAATATATATATTTTTAAATGTAAGACGTTTTTGCTCCCTGTCAGTTAGAATGATTCCTCTCTTTGTCTTCTGATCGGTAAGAACTATTTTTTAAAGAAGTCTACTGCATTTTGAGAGCAGAAAATATTACTGATTCACACGTTGACCTCTGACCTCATTTGGTTTTGCAGTGATTTACCTTACCTTCTTACCTTCTTTCACTGCTTAATCACTTCATTTTTTTAACCAAAAGTCTACGAACCAAATATATTTAAGTTGTAATTACATAAAACGGTCCAAAGCAGCAAATATTTACTTCTGAGTAGCTGAAAGTAGGTAAACCTCTTAAAGATTTTATTGAACAATATATGTAGTGAAATACAATGCAACATTTACCTAAGACTGTCCAAAAAGCTTAAGTATAAAAGCCATGAAAAATAAAAACTGATTTTTTAAAGGAGGATTACAATATAGAAAAATACGATTTTTTGTGACAGTGCCTTTTGTTTGTCTCTTACCTCTTCTGGCTCAATGAGTTTAAACTCCATGCCACGGCCGGTCCAGGCAATGAAGTGGGAGTTGGACGGGTCATCCAGTAAAGCCACCAGGAACTGCCAGAGCTGCAGCGAGCCTCTGCGCTGGTACGACGGGCCCTCACGGTACAAGCCCGACTCCTGTTTGATGTCGCCTACAGAAAACGGGGCAAAATGGTTATTGTATGATGGGCAGAATCGTTGGTACGTGGCATACTTTTCATTTTAAGAGTCACTGCAGGACTCACCTTCCACCTTTTCAGGCACCACGCAGGTATCGTCGTAGAAGTGCCTCGCCACTTTGTCAAACATACAACCTGGAAAACAAGATCGGAAAAAAAAAGATAGTTTGATATCACATGAAGCAAAAACCTATACGTGCACCACCACAACATCCACACGTAACATCGTTGGTACCTTCAGTCCTGTTAGTGTGAGCCAGATAGCCGTCTTGCCGTAAGTAGACAGAATGGCAGCTAGGCACTTCTGCTGAAACCCAGGCAAGAATGAGAGTGGGTGTTAAAGGGCCCGAAGGCAGCATTAAGAACACTATCTCAGTTATCTGAGAGCAGTCAAAGCCTGTTCACTCAATGCACCACTGGCTCTGATTAAAGAAAATGCCCTTCAGCATCAGCGCTGCGATGGCTTCCAGCCACGGGCGAGCTCACTATATCACACTGCCGATACGAGCCCCGAGCATCTCCACTCAGAGGAAGATTTACAACTGAATAAAACACAGCGCTCGTGTGAAAACAGGAGCTGACACGATGTAAGTTTTTTCATAATACGAGGGCTCATGATGATTATTTTACACACGTTCTGAGATCAAAACTAAACGGACCTGCAGGTGTTAGTTTCTTTGACGTTTTCGCTGTGCAGCTGCAGCACGTTTAGCTAAAACGGTTGACGTGTATCTTCTCAATCAGCTTCTTATTATGACTGACTGCATCCAGTGTGAGTATACAGTTTTCTGCCAAAGCTGTTTGCTTTGTTTCACATTTTATTTTTCTTCACGAGTTCTTCACTTGTTTGAAATGAACACATGCTTTTGTAAAACAGTCAAGATATACTACCAATACATTCAAAACGTGAACAAACACTTTTTGATGTTGTTTATGATGCTTTTCGCTGTTCATCAGGCCACGCCCACACTGGCCTGAGGAGACAGATCAGCTCAGTTCTTCAGTGGTGATAAATACTCGCTGATTCTATACTTTATACATATTTAACATTGAGTCCTGATGTTTGAGCAACATTTCAGCTGGTGTTAAAATAAACTGCGCAAAATGCAGACGGTCACTTTTCTGGGGTCAAAAAGGAACAATTCACCCCCCCAACACACTTCCTCTGGTTCTGTTTTTTTCCAAGTTTAGATCGTTTTAATGCAAATTTGCCAGGTTTAAAGATATCAGCTCTAGAAATATCTGCCTTTTCCTAAATCGCACCTACCTTGTTGATTTCAAAGCACCTCTTTTCCTTATAAGATCTACCAACCAACTAAAATAGATTTTTGAGTGAACTGCACCTTTAAAAGTTCTCACTCGTGGTTTATCAATATCATGGCTATAACAAGAGATCAAATAAAGACTTGTGGTTTGAATAATTCTTAAACCAAAAATGTAATTTTATATAGACATAAGCAGTTTTTTAAACCGTAGGTTTAAATGGTTAAGATAGAAATGCCCCACTACATAATTCTCTTCCTTCATTTACCGGTTGGATTTACTACATTGTCCAATCGACTCTTCCATTTACTGTATATGTCCAAACCTCCCACAACACAGATGAGATGCTGCGATCAAAAAAACAGCCAAATGGGCTGCAAAGTGAATGTTCAATAAACAGACTGAAGCCCTTCATTTAGACCCATAAACATTTCTCTGAGCTTCATCAAAGTAATGGACTTGTAGAGGAAATTGCTGCTAATGAAATTACCAGATCCCCTCCCATCCTTCTCAACAGTCCAGCTCCAGTCAACATGCCCCACTGTGGCTGCTAATAAATTCACTCTGATGCTCCTTCTTGGACATCTTGGTCCAAGTAGTGGACACAACACAAGGAAGACCTTTTGGTATTTTAACAGTTGATTGAATATATTTCACCACTTTTGCTTTATGAGTGCACACAGTTCTTTGTAGACAGTTTACTTGTATCAATAACAATTCTTCTAATTGTTAAAGCCATTTCATTTATCTATGAAAAAACACTGAAATGTGAAATGTAAGAATTGACTGTTATTACTAAAGAGAAAATCAAGCTGCCAGTGTCATTTTGGGCTCTGTAATTTTTGCCTGTATTTGGCCAAATTTGCGAAAAAAAAACCGGAATAAAACAAGAGAATAATGGTTGATGCAAATAACATTGCTGCAAATAGGCCAGAAGAAACCCAAGAAACTGTGAAAAAACAGGGTTATTTTGGACCGAACCTTGTTTTTCTTTTCTTTTCTATTTTTTTTTTCTCTTTTTGATACATTTTTCAGTTGTGCTAATTGGCATTTAGAAGCCACATAGTTGTGAAACTCGGTAAACACATCTATTGCAAAGTAACGTTGCCACTGGAAAAGCGAGAAAACACCAAAAATCACAGCTGCCTGACTCCTCAATGGCAAAAACTGCAGAGCTGCTGTTAGGAAAACCAGGTGTAACTTAAAGAGATGTGAATGAGGCACCACATGTTTTGGTGTTTGGAGGTTGCTTTTTCCCCCTGACTGGTCACACACACTCTCCTCCAGCTCTTCCTCTCCTGGGTCCACTCTGTCGCCTTCTGAATGAACCCGGCAGTCCGGCGAATGTTCATTCATGTCCTGAGGTAGCCTCAGGCTCCACAGAGGCTCCACAGAGCCTCTGGCTGATGATTAGGTCCCTTTACTCTCTAACCGAAGGGAGCGGACAAGCGTGGGAGGGCAGATTCTGGATTGTGACCAGGCTCAGCCCCCTCCTTTTTTTCTATTAGAGCACCACAGGAAATGGCGAACAGCACAGACACCCAGCCCAACCAGATCCCCTGCCCTAATAATGGGCAAACTCAATAAAACCGCCCCCTCCCGCCATGTCTTCTCTCATTCCTGAAATGATAATGCTCTGGCAGCTATCACTTCTCTGCTCTTTCACTTACCAGAGGAGTTTGAAGGAGCACAAACAACAGAAATCTTTTCAAATCGCTCACCTGAGTCATAGGTGAAGTCCCTCGGCTCCTGCTTGATCATCATGCCGGCTGGGTATGTGTGGGGAATAGGGGCCCCCATCATGGCCGGGTGTTCGAAGAGGGGGTCGGGGTACTCCTGTTTGAAGCCTTGAGGAGGGAAAGGGATGTTGGGCTCCGACATCTGCCTGTGGTAGATGGGCCGGCCGTCCCGAGCCATTGTCGGCGGGGAGGGAAACGAGTGGCAAGGCTCTGAGAGCTGACGTCGAAATCTGAGACAGACGACAAATTCAGTGGATTCATGACACTGACTCCTGATTGTGAACGACTTGATGAGACAAAAAGGAGATAAATCAAGAACATGTACATTTTGTTTTACTAATCAATGAATCAATAATAGAAGTGAAAATTCTGAAATCCGTAATGATGTTTTCAAGTGCTTGCCTTTTTGTTTCCCCTATGTTTATGCCTACAGGTGACCAAAAAAAGCAAAAAATAAAGGAAAGGTTTGGAATATTTGTCTGAAAATTGAATTAAAGAATCTCAAACCAAAATCAAATATACATGTTTATCCTATGGCACTTGGCTTGTGGTGCTCATGGGAGTAACTCAGAAGTAAAATGCCTCTTGTGTCCTGATTACTCTAAAAATCCACAAAACTTGTTTTGAAAAGTTTCATGTATAAAGTATTTTCTATATACAGTGCACATCCGCCAACTGTGTTACTGTGCAGAGGGATGTTAATGTTAGCTAACTCCATTCTCCTTTAAGAATTTGAGAATCACAAGGGAAGTGTCATTTAAATCCATTATATTACATTATAAGAGAAATCTGACATTTTTACTCCTAAACTGGAAAATTCACACCTAAAAAGATCTTTTGCTTGAAATAATTAACTTAGTAGGTCTGTTTGTTGTTTTGTTTTTTCCATTCTGCTATTGATTTATTGAATGAGCTCTATTTCAAAGCACTAAAGTCAAGTGATGACCACATGGCATTCGATGGTTGGGAAAGTTGTCGTTTGCAGGCCCCGCCCACTGAGGATTCACTCAATGAAAAACAGAAACTCAGATGTGCATCTGCTGCTGTGACCTTATTGTAATCTATCCTTGGTACAACTGCCAGCTAAGATCACCAGATGTAAATGTGATGTAAATGTAAGAGGCTGCAGGCTGCAGTACCTGTGGTCCATAGTGTAGGCGTTATCAGGGAGAGCCTGCGAGGGCGGTATGTGGGTGTAGGTCCTGTCTGGTTTGGGCGTTGGGGCCGTCGTGGGTGAGCCATGATGAAGTGGGGACACAGGGGTGCTACAGGGGGGTGTCACTGGGCTGGAGGGCTTCATTCCTGTGGGCTGCTTCTGCTCATAGGCACTGGGGTAATAGCAAGAGTCAAAGATGCCTGTGTTACTGCCAGTGTACGTTACACGATTTAAACTCTTTTTAATTAAGGATTATTTAACTGATAGCTTCGTCTTAAGATGTCTGTATTTAGGGTAGTTTGGAACAAATGCCCTACCCACTCAACTATCCTTTCACTGTTTTCTAAACCGATTTGATTTACTGTATAAATTATGAAGCCTTGTGAGCAGATGTCACAAAGTGAAGAAATGCATCACAAACTACCTCAGGGCATTTATGTCAGACTGCAGTTAGAATCAATGGCATTTTAAACCACTCCATAATCAGCGGTTCCAGAAACCCTCTGATTCAGTTCAGTTATAACAGACAATTAAAACTAACATGACTGCCATAATCTCACATAAATACCTCTGATTGGAAATATCTCGTTAATGTCTTCAGAGTCACCACCCAAAGCTGTACATATCTCGATGTCCTTTGATTTGCAGTTTGGAATGATTAGCAAGTCATTTCCAGTTAAATAAAAATTACAATGCAGAATGAAAAAGCCAAAAAAGTGTCAAATGTATAGAAAGCATAAAGATTCTTCACCAAGAGTAAACTGACGATAAGCTAAAGTGAGTATTTAGTCATCACTGTCCTACAATAAACCTTCACACCTGCATTTATTCCTCTGTTAAAGTGAGGAATGTGGAACCAAATGTTATTTTCTGTGTTTTCTTTACAAATCTGAAAAAGGTATCATGTACAAAAGCATTTAAATAATTTGTAAAAGATGTTTTAAGTGTCGGTGGGGGGGAGCCCACCTGATGCTGTACGGGCACTTCTCTCCATACTGGAGTTTGAAGGGCCGCTCCTGGCTACAGTTGGAGCTCAGCTCTGAACACGGGCTGTGCAGCTCCCTCTTGATCTTCAGCTGCAGTCCGTGGAACGCCACTACGATGGGAAGGAGGAAGAACAATTAACATTTACACTCTGTCAAACTGTAACATTTTTTAACATTGTGACTATTCTTTTGTTCATTTAGCAGCAGACTGTTTCTGGATTGGCTTGTAAGTACCTGAGACAGAATTCGTACAATCACAGGACGGAAAAAATAAATGAATGAAAACTAAAACCGCTGTCTTCATTTACATCTGACAGATCATTCACAAAAATTAAATGAGATGATCACAGTCTGGAAAAAAAATACTGCTTGTTTTATTTAAGTACAGCAGATTCAATTTCAAAACTTAAAATACAATTAAATTTCAGAACTGCACACAGCAGCTTTACCCACAATGGAAAAAGTCATGTTACAGTGCAGATACAAGCAGGCATGAATGTGCCAAGCCATCACTAATTAAGAGAACTCGTGATGGATATATTAAAAACACTTGCTTTTCTAAGCATCCATCTGCCAAAGGATATGACATCTGAGGCCATCACTTACACAAACAACTCACTTCAAATCCCATTTATTCAGCCTTTCCTGACGGGGACTCTGGTAGTGAAATATGACAATCATGAAACAGGGTGTGCGGTGAGCTCCGATAAATGCTTTATCTGCTTTCAGCTGGCTGTCAATAAGTTCCAGACGACAACAACAAGTCTCATTGATCTGAATGGGGGCCTGCGATCTCTACCTATGGCCCCACAGTGAGCCCGGTGCATCTGAGAGGCTGTTAAGTGCCTGATCAGTCCTGATTAACATCCCATCATCTAGAGTCATGATCAACGCTAATCCAATTGACTGTGCTTCTGAAGAAAAAGCCAGTCAGTCAGAATGAAGTCAGGCTCAGGTTGCCTCGCCAATCGCGTCTCACCGCGACGGCTCACAGAGCAACAGCGAAGCCATCCCACAGCGCTCTATCAAACACAACAGAGGACCAGCCGCGGTTGAAGACGATTATTTTTGATTGATGTTTTAGACTGAGAGATGGCCCTCTCCTTTTATAACCAGGAATTATGAATGGAGAAAGTCCATCAACTCTTGGTCCAACTCAAGTGCAAACATTTAGATATTTGAGTACTAGAGAAACTTAAATATGTGGCTAAGGACTGTTTTTCTTTTAAATACAAGAAGGTCTCTGAGGCTACAAGGAGTTGAGAGAGAAGGATGTTTTGAGGAGTTTTCTCACGGCTGACAGACAGCTGCTGTATGAGCAGGGGTCGATCTGCCAACACCCCATCTGACGCACAGTCGAGCCCCCTGGGTGATGGGCCACACGGGCCCGGCATGACAAAGCTCAGGGGTTGTTTGCAGCCCTCGCTGGGGGCCTGACCTTTTCTGGGTCATCGATCGGAGGTCAAAGAGACATTTCCTGAGGGGAGACCTTTGTTGACGCTGGCATCGCAAAGCCTTGTTAAGAGATTATGGACTCAAAACAATACCTCAGCTTTGGCTGTCAAGATCACAATAAGTGTCAGGCTAATTACAGTTTACATTAAACACACATGAATTTGTTTAGTTTAAGAGCCGACTCCACCGGCTTCTTGTTTACAGCTCACCTGAAGCTGAACCATAATTTCTTTCTTTATTTAACAATAAATGACATTAAAACAACGTCTATAAAAATGCTGCCGTTAAACGTAAGCGCCACATCAGCTCTAAACAATGGCTTCATGTGTGCTGCAGCACAGGGCATTAAATTAGAAATGGAAATGTCACAATAGATTTTGTCAGCGGGGTGCCAAGGTACACAAATCAATAGCGAGGGCATTGCCTCTGACTAAAACAGAGACTTCCCTTTTAGTCCAGAATGTCATGCCCATCACTGCTTGATTGCTCTCATTATCTACATATTGATTAACTAAGATGGTAGGCAGTTTTAAAGAAGAGGCAGTTAGAACAATTACTGGGTCTATTTTGAATGCAAATGTTCTTTTCTTCGTTGTACCACTGACTTAAACATTGGGCAATTTGCTTTAGCCTTTGCAGTACAGATTAAACAGAAATCTTTCCTTTAAACATCGTGGCACATGCAAATAAAAAAAACCTTTTTTTGCATTTTCCAACAACACTTAATTCGAATATTTTTATTTTAGCAGCCGTTTGTTTGCCAGTCCTTTCAGTACACTATCAGATAACTGTTGGCTCCGGCTGTTGTCAACTTTGAAGGTACAAATTGTGCGTTTTGGCAGAACGGGAGCCTACGTTTGGCAGATATTTCTCTAGTCCATTCATAAAAAAATACAGGTCTTTTGGCAACAGCGAAAAACCTTCCATTCCATTTTCACCTACTGTAGGTGCTCGCCTTTGCTGTTAAATGATGGAGGCTCAGATCTGCTGGTAACGTGTGGCCTCATTTTACACCTCCTCTACTCCTCCATTCCCTGCTAAGTTATGCTAATGGTAAGCATCTGTGTTGGAGTTTGAGACAAAGAAATTTCTCCTCTCCTCCTTCAGCCTGAGGACACTTTCGCTTCGAGGCCGCTCACATGCTGGTTCTGTGTCGCATAGACGCAGAGTGCAAAGTTGACATTGAGAGAAGCTGCAACAGCTTCTCATGAGGAAAGATGAGTCTGGCCATGAAAATACAGAACACACCAGCTTATGTGCTGCAATATTTAAGCCTTCAAAATAAATGTCTTTCCTATTCTTTTCAGATTTTTTATTATTATTCTGTTAGGAATATAAAATCACAGCTATTTCACTATTGTTGCCAATTTTATTTCAGTAGTACAGGAACAAAAATTTAGGGGTAACATTTATTTTCTTTGAAAACATTCATCTCAATAAAATAAGATGTTTCTTGTTAATTGTAGCAGTTAGCTTACATCGATAGCAAACTAAATAGGACATCTTGGCTAATGCTAACTGTGCTAACTGTTAGCTTGTTTTACGTTTGATTTAAATCAAATTTGATAAGTTCATTAATAATTCACAACTGTCATATTAATATCTGTTGTGAATTATTTTAATGTAAAATTCAATTTTTAGTTTTTTAAATCTGAGTAAATAATGTATTGTTTTTCTATTTTCACCACGCTATTGAGGATAGGATGAAAATTATTTAAAGGGCTAAGCACTGTAACCTTTACAAATTTGGCTCAAACACTTTTTCAGACTCAGTCTTTTTCAGATTAATACACATATACAACACATACATGGGCAGTACTGAGTATTTTTGGAGCAAGGAGGTAGTATGTGGGATTTACACAAAACAGAGAGTGCCCACGTTGATCGTAACAAAGGGAGATGTTACCCAGTGCAACAGTGTGAGTCACTTCAGTGTTTTTGGAGCAACAATGGAGCTCACAGACGAAAAAGCTGCTGTAACTGATTTGTGTGGAATCAGTTGTCTGTTAGCTTTGGATTTCTCACTAGATTTGGTGACATTAAAAGTATTTAATATTGCCATTTTCATAACGGCCCCTATCTTCTCACTGCCTTTTCTTTAGGGTTAACTTCCAGCTTTATCTCTCCTCACCTTCACCTTTCTTTCTCCCTGTCTCACCGTTTGCCTCTCCATCTCTCGGCTTGGTGAAAACCCATACGGGAGAGCTGCCGGCTGGGATGCCTGCTCATGCGCCCAACCACGGTGCCCTCACCCTCCTGCCATCTGTTAGTGCCTCTCCAGCCTGCTGCAGGTTTGCCAACAGGACAATTCAGATGGTCAGCAGTCTCCTGCCACTATGGCCACCCACCCTGGCTACCTCTGAAGGGCATCAGGACAGTCTTGGTGACCTCTGGTTATCTACTGTACACCACACTAGTCCATGTTGGGTTTTAGGCAAGGCTAAGTCACACCCATAGTTTAAATGTTTTGCCTTTAACACAGCAGTTGTCTTTAGTGTTGTAGCGTTTTGAACAATTATAAAAAGTAAAATTAATGAAACGAATCAAATAAAGTGCAGACATTTAATGGATTTTTTAGACTATTATAACTAGTTTAATGCAGTTTTATGTGTTTAGATTTAAGGCGCATTTATTCACTTTTGGAGCAACTTAAATCATAAGTTAAATTAAAAGCCAAATCAGATTAGGACATCTAAAGTCAAGTGCCTGTAGCCAGGCAAATCCCCTCAGATTTGTCATTTCCAGAGAGCAGGAGTACTCGTGGCAAAATAAAGTGAGAAGAAAGAAAAACCATTCTCGGGTTTCTAATCTAGCCCACCAACGGGAACCTTCTCGATAATCTCAGGCTGTGATCTGAGTCACATGGAGTTAAAAGGCCTGTGATCTCGCTTGATGCCAAATCTCTTACAGCTTCATTTTACCAAACTGTTATCTGTGACCACTAAATCTTGAAATGCAATTAAAGTTGCCAAACTAAATGTCAGATGTGACCTTCTCTCTTTGTTCTTGTTCAAAACTCTAACTTCTGCCTTTTGTTCAACTTTCATTTGCAGGTTAAAGGGTGTTGAGGACACCGGGAGGTTTTGTATTTTTTCTCACAGTTTAATGTGCATTTTGGCTCAAATGAAAGACATGTGCTCTATCTGGGTCCCACTGAGTTCCACTCACTCAATTTCTGTCCCCACCTTGGCACTACTTCCTCCAGAAATGGGCCGTGCCAAGTAACCAGTCACCGTGTGCAACCACCGTATACAGCCAGGTGAAGTACGACCAACTAGCTTATCCTCATCACTGTGAGTGAAAAATGAACTCTTGTCAGACATTGGAAAATGTTTTAAAACTTTTAGGAAGTATTCTTAGAAACAGAATTTGTCCTTTTGTTGGATAAAATATGTAGAGCAAGGAGGAAAAAAGCACAAAAAAACAGATCATACTTGCTTTCATGCTTTAAAATCTCCAGTGAAGGATAGGGAGTGTAAAAGAAGGCCAGCCAACCTCCAAGTAAATGCAGGAGTACTTAATATTACACCGCCTGATTTAGAAAATATAACCACACTCCATGGTTTGCACAAAAAAGGAGTTTGGGGAAAGGTCAAGGAGGAGCATATTTTTAAGATTTTATTAAAAAAGAAAATTCAAAACAGACATCAACTGACAGCAGTTTGGACTACCTGGAGTTAAAAATACCACTTCAACTACCTAAAAAAAAGTTAGCCACAATATTTTGATGTTTTCTTATGCAAATAAGTCACAGTGCAATAATATCTCAGTAGCGGTCCCAAGAACAACAAGGGAAAACAGAGACACACACACACACACACACACACACACACACACACACACACACAGATAACCCCCCAACCCAAACCATGCACCTGTAGACCTGCACGATTGCTGCAGCTCTCCTGAGAGCACTTGTGCAAGCAAAGGTGAGGGCACTGAGAGACATGGAAAAACACACACAGTCACTTGCTTTTTACGCCAGTACAAACACACCAGTGAAGATGAGTGAAAAAAAAAGAAAAACGCCACAGATGTTCACACACACACATAAACATAACACATGCACAGACAAAGAGACACAGAGAAAAGCGACATGGTTTCTTACTCACAGTTTTCAGTCTGGAAATCTGGAACGAACTGCTCATCATTGTCGGGAACTTGAGCTAAAGACACGAGCAGAGAAGAAGAAAGGGATTGATTGTTTCTGATGTTGATGGACACCGCAGCACTGATCACAGCTTTGTCCTCTGGCAAACAGTCCTCTGGGATGTTAGTTTGGCCAATCCCAGCACTGCCTGCTTCTGTTGTCAGTTAAAAAAAAAAAGAAAAGAAGCCTAAAAAAGTGTTTTTAATGTGTTTATCATTTTAAATGTGCAGAAGATTTCAATATGCTGTAAATCTTCAGAGTCATAGAAATAATCATGCAAATTAAAATCAATTAATGAATTTAAAAAAACACATCTTAATAAAGATTTTTTTATCCATTCTTAAACTTTCAGTCGTTTTACGCATTTGTTATCCAAATATAGCCCAGTTGTTCAAATGTCCATTTTCTATGCACTTCTTTTCAATTTTATATCTATATCATTCCCTTAAAAAAGAGAGAGAGAAAACAAAACAGCAAAAACACTTTTGATTTGTTGTAGAAAAAGAGCTTAATTTAATTTTTTTTTCTTTCTGAAAATAAAATCTGACTTTCACGGCTTGAAAAGGGACAAAAAGTCCCCAAGACGACAATTCTGATGCAATCAAAAGACTAAATAACCTTGAACTGCTGTGACTAACACATTCCCTGATATTTACTAAAGCAGTTGAGTCATATTTTCCAACAAACTCATACCTGACAGATAATATTTTGACCGTCTACTTTCACTTCCTGAGGTCGACTTGTCCATTGACTGCTCTGCAGCCTCGGCTCTCGCTCCTTGCCAGCAGCCAAACACCCATTGTTAACAGTATCTAATTGGCTTCTTCCCTACTGGTGAATCCACCTGTACCTACCGAGTTAGGTCTGTTCCAAACCCTCCAAAGCTTCACCTGCGCTTCAAACACCCCTGCACTCAGGCTAATGCTAAAATAATGAAGCCCTGCTCCACTCGGGCTCCAATTAGGCATGTACATATTTATATAACACATATTTACACTCAGTGACAGTTCTTCATGTCCCTTAAGTTTCAGTCTCTCTGGTGATAGGCAAAAAGAGATTTAAATGTGTCATTAGCACATCTATTTATAAACAAAATGAGCTGGATCCTCATTATCACAGTATGTGCAGCATGCCTTGACATGTCTGGAGATCCTATTTTTTTTTTTAAATGACTGATATTCCTTTTTTGTCACTCTTGATGTGGTCAAGCGTGGGTTTATTTCTCTTCCCAGAAGTGAGAATTGAGGAGGGTAAACAATTAACAGATGAAGAGGAGATATTGCTCCTTATTTTCTAAAAATGTCAAGCGGGTGCAGACGCCAGAAAATAAATATGCACAAGCAACTTCACTCCATATGTTTGTGTAGTAGAGCTACCAGCTCTCTATTTTGGCCTTTTGGAATTAAGTTGGTGGGAAACAATTAAGACATAACAGGAGATTTTACACAGGGCTACTTTTGTAATAAATTAAAGAAAATGTAATAATATGTAACAGATACAGTGTTAGGAAAACACTTACTCAAACCTTATAAAGAAATCAAATTTTTCCTAATAAAAAACCAAGTTCTTAATCAGCTGAAGCACCACAACATCTCTCGAAACTTCAGCGGACACAGAGGAGAAACAATAAAAATAAATTAATAAATTAAACACAAAGAAGGTGGCAGTCTCTCTGTGACCAAAAGGAAGTACAGGATGGATGAGTCACTGGCCTCAGTCTGTGAATGAGCCAACTGATCTCTGCAACAAACTCCTGGGGAGAACGGCAGAGTTGGAAATCTGCCGCCATTCACAAAACCAAAAAAAGGAGGGAGAGGGACAGAAGGAAAACAGGAGCGAAGGTAAAGAAGAGGAAGGTTGTAAACACGAGGCCTGAGACTATTTGAATGGTTGTCTAAACCTGCAACAGCAGTAAGCAGGGCTGAGTTTTAAACAAATTTATCATTCTGCCTGTGACGATTTCCAAGACAAATGACGCTATCAGCACAAAAATTTTGCAGAGACACCAGTGCGTGAACAAAGGAAAAAGGAAAAACAATCTTAAAGCAAAAAATCTGAGAAGTACAATACATTTTTTGTTGTTGTTTTGACAAAAAAAATAAATAAAATGAGTTTAAAATACTGTATGGAAGAAAGAAGGTAGATGTAGTTTTGGGGGGGAGGTCACAGATTCGCATGTCAACGATCAACCTTCAACATCTTGGGTCTCGGGAGTCGGAAATTCAGTCTGTCGCTCATAATTTCTCCTCTCGTTCCAATTACCTGAACTAATAAATCTCAGAAATGGGAAGGTATTCCTTTTCATCTTAATGGACAGGAAGTCATTCATTAAATCTACAATCTTGAGGCGCACATCATCACATTGATCCATGACAGGCAGAACTGTAATCTTTAACAGTAATACCTCTTATCAGCCGCTGTCTCTTTTCCCACTTTGGATACTGAAATATTAAAATCGTGTCTTATTCTTTTACACACCCTGCGGTGCGAGCCGCGACGCCTCATCTCACCTCGCTGCCGCTCCGAGTCGGCTCAACTCTTCCAATATCTGTTTTAAAGAATACTTCTCATTTTTTAAAAGCTTTGGATTGCACTGCGAGCGTTTTTACATGTGTTAAAGAATAGATGGAGCGAATAAATGATTGAGTCTTCTTTGGCTGCGTAAAGGGAGCAAGCGAAAAATTCATCTCGACACTCTTCCAGTAAATGTTTTACGACTCTATCCTATGGTTAAAAAAAGTAAGGAGTTTATTTAATTATATTGCACACGTTATTCTACGACAACTAGAATTATTGCTTTACGACGTGTGAACTGTTAGAAAAAAGGAAGGCAGCCTTGTATTGCTGCAAACGGGTAACAGAACACAAAAATTCTAAATTCACAAACTGCAGATGACTTGATTGACTTAAATGAAACAAGACAGTACAGTAAAACTAACATCAGCGTCTCATTAGACTAAATGCTTTTTGGTGTTAATGTATTTAAATGAACCAAATTATGAAGCAGAACATTTTAGCATTACAATATAATAACTCCAACTCCAGTTTTATACACTTCTACGAAATTTTCAATTTTAATATTTCATTATCAAACCTTAATTTAAAACTATATGAAAAATGCACATAAATCAGTGAGTTTCTAACACATATAGCACTTTATACATTAGCCAACGAGCTATAGTAAAGCAAAGTCTAGAATTAGTCTAGTATAATAATAGTCTAGTACAATAATAGGGGCAATTGTAATCAAGTGACTTACAAACTTCATTTTAACCCTGTGCTTTGGACATTTTGCAGACAAAACACTAGAATTTGTTTTAATTGTTCTGGTTTATATATATTTGCAAAAAATACTTCAAAATCCAACTTTATAAAACAGTTGTGTTCTCTCACACTGTACAACTTTACACCATCTGTTTGCAAGCAAAGCAAACACTTCACATATATCTCAAATTATACTTCTTACTGTAAAAATATTTTTTTACTTGGATATAAACTTTGAGATTACATGCAATATTAAGGTACGTTACATCTTTCTGAGATGTCGACAAAAAAGTCCAACATGCATGCACAAAGAAATACAGCAAAAGTGAACAATATTCACCACTAACCAAAACTTCGGTGCTGCAGACACGGAGGAAAGAGGACGCTCGCACTTAAATCCTGAAGCATCACGTCTCAGTTAGACCACAATGAGCAAGTCTTGCCATTAGAGAAAAAAAAATTAAAAAGCAAGAAAATTGTAATATTAAAAAAAAAAATAAATCAATTGTCGCTTTGAGAGCTGGCTGCTGTTTTGGAAGTTTGCGGAGAAAAAAAATTTCTCATAGATCCATTCTCTCTTTTTTTGCCACCAAGAAATGAAATTGAAGAAGACAAGGTGAAGGTACAGCTGTACAAGATAGAGAGGTGTGCTGAGAGGAAGCAAAGAGAGAGAGGGAAAGAGAGAGAGAGAGAAAGGGGAGAGAGAGGAGATGACAGAGTGAGTGAGAGTAAGAGAGCTGGTAGGCTACAGCAGAGCTCTGGTGGAGGTGGAGGTAGTGGCGGCTGGCGTGCAGCGCGTTAGCTCCTGCCAAAAGCAGAAGAGACAGTGAGCGTCGGAGAGCCTTCTCCTGGTAATTTGTGATGACACTCTCTGGGTAGAGCCTCCTCGGTCTCCCTCAAGACCCCTCGCTCACAGTCTCTAATGTATGCATGACACACAAGGTGCCTCTTCCACACAGGCTTTTAATTGGACTGCGACGCTAGGCATGTAACTCCAGGCAGCAGCCTCCCCCCCCCCCCCCCCCCCCCAACACTCACAACCTATTCATTTTTACCCATCTCTCCTCCTTTTTTTGCTCAAGATTTAAAACACTCACCTTCTGCTAGCCAAGTCTCCTGCAGCTGACTGAGGTCCTGGAAGAGCTCTGAAAGGGAAACCGAGGCAGAGATCAAGGTTTGAAGGCAGTTGAAAAACAGTCAAAGCTCAAGAGAAGTATCAGAAACAAGTGCATTCACTATTACTGGCTGATATGCCATTGGAGCTCACTGGGCATGTGTGCAGCTAATAACAAGTCAATTTGTGTTTCTGACCACTGAAAAGAGGCTTGTGAGAATCATCACAGGCCGCTGTGCTGTAATTGAGATTCTGTAGTTAGCAGCACAGGTGGCCACAAACCAATTGAATTTTGCTAAATGTTTAGAAGCCGTGAAATTAACTTCTCCCTCTGTCCTACCTTCAGTGTCCAGAGCCAGGTCGGACTTAATGAATTTTCTCTTTCTGTCATTTGCTGGCCTCTCGCAGCTCGTTGTCTTTTCTTGCAGCTTTTGGGAAAGAAAGAAAACACACACACACTCATCAATTTTTCTTCTTCTGGCTGGAGCAGTAATTCTGTTGTTGGCTGCATCACATGTGCAACTGAAATAGCAAATGAAAGAGCCTCAATGAGCCTCTGATTAATGCCTCACACACTTCTAAAGCTTGACCCATGCAAAGGGGTCTGTGCTTCACTTATCAGGCATAATTAACAAGTTGTTACATGGTGCATAACCAATAACACAGGGTAAAGTAATGGGCACCTTGTTTGGCTGTTTATCTTTGATGATTAGATGAAACTTAAATGGTCCCTGAGGGAGAAATGAGTGTTGGCAGCAGCAGAGAGAAAGACAGAGGTGAGATCAGAACAAATAGAATGCATTAGAGAGAACAGCCATCCACAGTACAAAAGGCAGAAAAAATCAAGATGAAGTATTTTCCTTAATGGGGTGGGAGCTGGAAGAAGAGAAGGATGAGTGAAACTGATTTCATTTCAACTTTTCTTCTTTTGAGGCAGTGATCACTCACTCTGGAGTTATAGTAAGGCACTTGCTGATCGTGAAATCCATCCATTCTGCACTGTTGTGGCTTTAACGGGCGAGCAATCTGCAAAGTCTCCAGTCTCCTGTCCGGCCACCCTTCAAACAGGCAGATAAATAGGAGGCAGGAATAAGGAGGAGAAGAACTTCGGGTTTAAATCTCTGTTTTATTCAGTGTATGAACCCTCTGATATTATTCTGAGCCCGGAATGACCGACGGCACCTCCGGCGATCATGCGGTACAGTTAAGTTGGTGCGTAAACGAGCAGCGCGCTGAGCTAGAGGGCGCACCAAAATGTTTTTCGCTCTGTAATAAACTTAGAAATGAGAGGAAGTGTGTAAAACTGCAGGTACTTACCTACCAACTTCGCGCTGCTTTCATTTGCTGAGAGCTACAGAGCGGCTGCAGGATCTCCACAGTCCCGGCTGCTGCCTGCGCCTCTCCCCGCTCACTGTGTTGCTTTCTAGCGGCTTGGCATCGCCTCCCGGGGCCTCCCATGGAAACAAGCCGCACTCCGTTTCCTATTGGTTGTCAATGTCTTTCACTGGATCAGATTGCTGGCAGTCAATCACGCACGGCTGCAGGCGGTAAGCGCGGGCGAAGTCAATGACAACATTGTCGTGCGCTCATCTCGCTTTGTTTAAGTTTGGAGTTTTGCGTTTTTAAGCCGAAACTAGCCACCAAACTTCATGACAACTTGGTGTCACTATTTTGTATTTACACTGAAACACATGCAAGCTGCACCTGCACACCCCCGCCCTCTCGCGCACGTCTTCACCCCCTCTCCTTCTCGTTTTTTTCGCAATCGCATACAGTGTGAGACACACAAACACACCACTCACTCTTCTCCCGGTCAAGTTTGTGTCCATGGTAACGGTGTTTTGAAGAGCCTCCGGGGGGACTTGCTGAAGCGCCAGCTCTTCCCTCTCCTGTAAAGGGATACTTTGTTGAGACCTGCAGAAGGCACTGACCTGGAAGTAAAGTCCAGGAGCAGCGGGCAGGAAAAAAAATCCTACAAAAAAAAAAAGAAAAGAAATCCCACTGAACCCCTCAAACCATTTTAAATTAAGAGGGAAGTCCAGATCCAGAACCTGAATGTCATGGAAAGTTTTAATCGTGCAGTTTTACAGCTAAAGCATAACATTTGCTTTACATTTAATATTAGTACCAAGGTTCGCCAGTACAGTTACTAGCAGTTAACACCGATATTAAAACATTAAAAGTTGCAAATGCACTTTATTCTTTCAATAGAAAAAAATATGGCATGACTTCAAAAAGCCACTGTGATAATGTATACTAATAACAGGTTACGTCTGATCTGTACATTTCTTTTCTTCAGTTTAAACAATACATAGAAAATGTTAGTTATGTGAAATAACCAAACACCAGCATTTCGGAGAATATCGATGTGCTTATGTTTCTCTTTTTAGGCCTTAAACTGATGACACTGGTGTCAATACTCAAAACAAGATTTTGTATTGGACATATGGGTACTTATTTGTTATTCGCATGAACACGCTTTCGCAATTTACCATGAATTCTTCTCAGAGCCCGAATAAACTCTAAAAATATTAAGTATGTGACATCCAGCAAGTGTTATTTATCATAACAAAATCTTAATTTAACTATTATTTTCAATGCCAAAGTAGTTAAGGGCAGGGATGTCAAACATACAGCCCCGAGGACCAAAACTGCCAATAAATACAACAATACAGTGACAGAAAAATCTTTTTGTTTTTTGGAATTATTCTAGCCTGGAGTGAAAGTATTAGGAAAGTTACATGGTTTTATATGTTTTTTAACAGAATCTTTGAATCATAACATTGAGATATAGTTTTGGAATTTCTAATTTTTCCTCATGCATCTCAGGCTGTTTTTCATCTGTTCTATAAATGGATCACTCATTACATGACAACAAAATTTATAAAAAATAATGCCTTCTGTTGTCTGGCACATTTTTAAGGGATTTGGATGGCGAATGTCTTTCTTAGGTTTATGGTTTCAGCTTTTTAAAAATCTTGGCTACATCTCTGATGAACAATTTCAGAATGTACTTCTTTATTCTTAGAATTTTTTTCTAAGTGTGTATGAAATGATTTTACTGGTCTTAAGATGAAAATTTGTCTGTATGTGGTCTATGAACTAAAGAAGTTTGACACCGTGGCTTTGAGTTAAACAGAACAGCATGTACATCACAACAATAAATAAACTTGAACGTGTTGTACATGTCAAGAAATATTCTGCGAGATTTAAAGAATCAGACTTTTTAGAATAAAATACTACTTTGTTTTGTGAATCTGATAAGTTTCTCCCCTTAGATCTCTTTTTCTGTTTGGTCTGACTGTTGTAGGATGTCTGCAGTTTCCTGGTTGCACACCTATATTTAAAGCTTACAGGCGTTATTTTTGAAAGAAGGTCATGGGCAAAAAAAAAATCATTACCACTGTCAGGAATGCTTTTTTGTCGCTGTTGCAGCTAAGTTGTAATTTGTAAAAATGTGTGTTGGGTGCATAACAATCAACATAGATTTGCTTGCCAGGATACAGAACAGATCTAGGATAAAACCCTGAAAGAGAACTTTACCAGTGCATCAAACACTTGACTGAAAGACGGGCATATCGGAAGTCAGTGGTGGTCACGCTGGTGCCATCTTGGATCCAGGCAGGGTTCCATTACCAGGCAGGTGAAGTGGATGTGAAGTGAAGTACTGTGTCACTCCTGCTGAACACCCTGAGGATGGAGAAACGCAGGTCAAGTGCAGGAGTCTACCCATCTGACACTGAGACAGCCAATACCCTAAACCAAGTGCCACTCCAAAAGAATATAATTGGGGTTTTCCCCATCTGTTTTATTTTCAAAAATAAAACTCATGACACTGAAGTTACTCCAGATTACTACACTGTGTTTCACTTGTACTTATTTAGCCAAAATTGAGGTGACTAAAAATAGGGGACAAGAATAATCATTATAAAGACAGTTAACCACTTCATTTGCTGCTTATCCTCTTTGAGCATTTATTGAAACATTACTTGCATTCTTTTGTACTATTAAAAAAGAAGAAGAAGAAAAATTAGTGGCAAGTGAAAGCTTATTGCCAAACATTTTTACATTCTAGTAATTTCACTATCACTCACATGGGAGTGAGAGAGAGAGAGAGAGAGAGAGAGAAATAGAGCTATCTCCTCTAGGATGCAAGATGAAAAACAAATGTTGACGATCAGGAATTCACAGGGTGTTAAACTAACATGAACAGAATATATTTAATGGGAATGAGCATTAATCTTGGCAAGTTATACTAACAAATGAGTAGTTATTCAGTTTAATTCGATTTTATTTATGTAGTATAGCAATAGTGATTGCTATAGTATAGCAGTCTCCAGGTGCTGTAAGCAAAGACTCTACAATAATACAGAGATTAGAGTTATGTAGATTCAAATTCCAAGTCAATATCTCCCTGTTGGTGAAAAGAGATGAAAAACCATGTACTATCTGGGTTTGCTTAGAAACAAATGGCTGCAAACTAGTGGCACAAAAATGAAACTAAAGCCATTGTCTCAGAGAATCAGTTAGGTCCATAGGTTTTTGGCTAGCAGCAAAAGTTTTGTAATTTTGCCTCTGTAAACCACCTCATTTAACTTTGACTTTAAATGATCATAATTAGATTGAAGTATAGACTTGCAGCTTTAATTCAAGGGGTTTGACAAATGTTATTACAGATGTTTTATATCTGTGCCCCATTTTCATAGGCACAGAATCATTGGACAATTGAGAGCTGTTCCCTCATTGTCCCATGACAAATTAAGCAGATTAAAGATCTGGACTTGGGTCAAACTTGCATTTGCTATTTTTT